CTGATATGTACAGCACGATTAGGTTTTTTTTTTTCTTTTTCTGTAAAATGTATCAAAAATTTTTTTTTTTCAATCTTTAATAAAATTTTTTTTTTATTATTTAATTATTCCTGATGAATAAATACCAAAAAAATAAAAATAAAATAAAATTATGCAGCAGCTAGTTAAGGTAAGGCTGCGGATTCAGTCTCTCTCCCCCTGGGATCGTAGATATCTTTTAATTATTAATATTTTTTTTTGCTTTTACTTTCATTGATTGGTGGTAAAATGAGTGATTGCTCAAAAGCAACATACATCCACTTGAGTTTTTTTTTTTTGTTTTTTTTTTTTCTCCATTAAAATTGTCTCCAAAGTTTTCACTGAAACATTTTTAATCATTGCACAGAGACATCAATACTGTGACATACTATGGAAAAGACTGCCAGGAGCTGTCCTGCACCGGGACGTGACGGGGGAAAGGGGCCCCTGATGGAGTAAGAATATACAGGCACTGGTCCGACACGATGTCAGTAAGAGAGACAGAAAGAGAGAGAGCACGCCCGTCAACATGGGGAATGTTGGGTTTGCAAGTTTTATCCTTACTTGGTTTGCTTTTTATCGGTTTTGTTTTTTAAATGGCAAAGAAATTTAACCTCATCTATAGTCCTCCTTGGGATACTCTAATGTGACCAAATTCCCAAAGCCCATTCGCAAGCTCTCCATGTCAAACGTCTCAATCTCTCGCTCCTGCTTTTCCAACAGAAACTTGATCCTCTCGCTGCGTTCCTTCTGGAGGGCGGCGAGCTCCTCTTCGATCTGAAACGAGCACAGTCAGCAGCCCCCAGCACAGCAGCCCTGCCCCAACCCCGTGTCCCAGCCGAGCTCCAGGGACCCCCCGCAGCCTCCCCCAGGAACGTACCTTTTGTTCCAGGTGTGCCCTGCGCAGCGACACCCGTTGCTCCAGCTTCTGGAGTTCCCTTTCGTGCTGTGCTTCTGTCTGCATCTTAATTTTGCTCTGGTACGCGTTGAGCAGCTCCATCTCCTGCTGGAGTTGCAGTCTCAGGGCTTGGCATTCCGCTTCCTGGGCCTCGTCCAGCCGTAGCTGTAAGGACATCGGGAAAACAACGCTCACACCTCCACTGGTAATTCCTCTGCTCCGACACTACTGGCACGCTGCTCTTCTTTCCCAAAGCCAGGAGCCTCTGGCATTGGGAAAATCATGAAGAGCAGCTTCCCCACTCACAGAGGCAGAGCCTCAGGGAAGACCCAGTTCTAAACCCCAGCACACGAGGGGCAGCAGGGGAACCACACGTGTTCTGTGGGATCCTTATTCCAAGAGGGAAAGTGCCACCTGCTGCATTATTTAAACAGCTCTTATAAACACAACCATCCAGTGGCTGGAGAAGACCATCCCAGCCTGCTGTGAGGCCTGACAGCCTGACTGTTCCCCCCTCCCAGGGACACCCACGTACCGCCTGCGAGGCCATCATCTCGTTGATGCTCTGCTCGTACTGCTCGGCCAGGATGGCGAGCTTCCGCGTCTGCTCGTCCTTCAGGCTCTTCAGAATTGTCTTGTGCTCACTCTTTGGAGTTACTTCCAGCTGGTGATTCTTCAGTGCTTTGTACTGCTTAGTTTGCACTTTGCATGTGTCCTGGAACTGCTTTTTGATCTGCATTTCCATAGCCTGCCAAGGAAGGAACGATGTGAGGAGCGCAAAGAGCTTTGGGGACGGAGAGGTTATGGTACGTCCAAATGGGTGGGCTGGTGAGAACCACAGCTCCTCTGTGCTCTGTGCTGTCACCTGCAGCTCATGAGCAGGGTGTGCTTCACACAGGGACCTAACCAGCAGCACCAGCTCAGGCCGTGGCTGGGCCAGGAACAGGGCCTGCTCAGCCCTCCCTGGCCCAGGGCACCTCTGTCCTCCACCCCTGCTTCCTGCAGGTCATCCAGCCCATCACCTGCCACCTGCCTCCCAAAATACACTTGCTTTTTCACAGCTTCCCTCCCATTCTGCTTCTGTGCCCTAGGAGGAAGCCACAGATCTGAAAACTAGCAAGGGTGTGACAGAGTGACAGCAACGTGCCTTCTCCCTGGTGACCAGTGACAGGACCCGAGGGAACAGCTGGAGCTGTGCCAGGGAGGTCAGGAGGGATACTACAAAGAGGTTCTTCCCCCAGAGGGTGGCTGGACACTGAACAGGCTCCCCAGGGCAGTGGCCACGGCCCCACGGCTGCCAGAGCTCAAGGAGTGTTTGGACAATGCTCTCAGGCACAAAGTGGGATTGTTGTGGTATCCTGTGCAGGGCCAGGATTTGGACTGGATGATCCATGTGGGTCCCTTCCAGCTCAGGATATTCCATTATTCTGTGACATTGGGAGGAGGAAGAGGCCTTTCCTACAGGGAGCAGCTCAGAGGTCTGTGACCAACCTGCAGCCGAACTGGGGCAGTGCACAGTGCTCAGCACACCCATGTCCTCTCTCCTCTCCTCTTAAAGCAGCACCCAACCCCTCTCCATATCGAGGTTTCCAGGCTGACACCAGCGAGGGCCTGAACAAAGCACAGCTCCTCAGAAGCAAATTCTGTAACACTTTTCTCAGAACTGGACTATTTTTACCCAGCAGCCTCAATTAGCACAGCACCTAAAAAACCCTCCCTGAGCTCTGTGCTGTCACAGCCCACAACTTCCTTATGCAGAGCAGCCCTGTGCAAAGGGAAGGGATGCAAGGGAGAGCACAGGGTGTGGAGAGCAGCGGTCCCACAGCGCGGATGAGGCAGCCAAGCACGGCCCCGCCTGCCCGGCAGGACAGAGGCAGGAGGAGGAGGAGGAGGAAGGAAAGCTTCTGGCACCTTCAGGTTCTTTGGTTGCTGCCGGAGCTCCATGAAATGCTTCCTGTGCAGCTCCCGCTCCCGCCTCTTGTTGTATTCCAGCTGGTTCTCGAGCTCAGTCTGGTGCTGCAGCCGGATCAGGTCCATGCGCAGCTTCTGCAGCGTGTGCAGCTGCCGGTACTCCAGCTCGCGCGTGGACTCGTCGTGCCGGATCAGCATCGCGTGCTCCATCTCCTTCTGCGTCCGCTTCTTGTTCAGCTCCTGCACCAGAGCACAAGGAAGGGCTCAGCAGGGATGGATTCTCCACCTGGAGATGCTGCAGGTCACGAGGCCAAGTGTCCTGGTCACTTGTCTACATGACACCAAAGACTTCGTGTGTCACAGGGGAACACAAACCCAGCAGCGCCATGGGGATGCTAACAGTGACCTCCATCCATCCATCCATCCATCCATCAGCTCTGGCATGGCCCCGGGAGTCCCCAGCAGGTGGCACTGGGACCCCACACAAGCCCTCTGTGATTGCTGAGAATCGCAGCAGCTCTTAATAAATACAACTCAGGGCTGGTGGCACTGACAGAACTGAAGGCTCCTGTTGTCTGGTTTAAATTCCCCTGTGCCCCTGCTTGGCACTGGAATGAGGCTTCTCCCAGATCACTTTTATGAGAATGGCCAAAGCAGTGGTGAAGGGCTCCAACACCACCTCAGGTGAGAAAAAGAATAGTCCAGGTGGGTTTTGGCCTAAGGTGCAGCACGTTTTTAAACTGAGGATAGAACCCAAGGCTCACCGGGTTTCACAGTGTGCAGTAAAGCTCTGCACAGTCCAGGATAACCCACACTGAGCTCCAAGCCAAGGAAGGGGGAGACACCAGTTCCCTCCTTGATAACTGCCTGTATTTCTGCCTCAGTGTATCAGCCACAACCTGTGGAGCACGGAGCTGACTCCAGCTCAGTGGAGCTGTGATTCCAGCTGTACCCCTTGCTGATACTTGGAGCCCTTCACAGATGGTCTGCTGGTACATCCCAGATCCAGCCCTCAGGTTTACAACCTCATTGCTCCATGCTGGAGTCAGACAGGCACAGCGGGGCTGCCCCACACCACATGCAGTGCCTGGCCTGGGGAGGGCCCAGTGCTGCCTCAGCCTAATGAGTTTCTGCAGGAGAAGCAAAAAAAAAAAAAAAATCTAATTATTCTGAGCTGTTGCTCACACGTTGTAATCCTGTTGTGTCTCTCAACAGCAGCACCTGCAAACAGGCACTTCAGGCCCTCTGGCTGCTACAACTGGGACAGGTTTGAGTTGAGAGGATGGGCAAGGAAACAGGGCCTGGGCTTGTCTCTGCCTTCCTGGCCATAAGGGTGTTGCACGTCTTTACATTTAAGAAAAATTTTCCCCCCACAGCCAAGATTAAAAATGAGATCATTTCCCAATGGCACAAAGGCAGCTGGGACACTGAACAGGCTGTGGCATGTTTGTCTTCACCTCAGGACAGCTCAGCCTCTCTGGAGCCCATTCCACACCTGATTTCAGTTCACACAGCACGAACACACACAGTCACTCCACCCCTCTCAAGCACTTTCCCACCTGCACAAAAAGAACCTCCGTGGTTACTTAAAAATATCATGAAAGCCACATTCTGAAAGTGTTATTTACTTCAGGTGTCTGATCCAGTGTATCTGAAGTAGTTAGCAGGACATAGTTATTTTCAGTTATTAGTTATTTTCAGGACATAAACAATCAGATCATTCTGAAAATTATCAGGTCCCTCTTAAGAGCTTAAATGCAGGAGCTCAGGGGTGTGTTCACTGGTTAAATGCCACGCTAGGTAACTGAACTCTGTTCTCATCCCTGCCACAGAGCTCTTACATGCTGGGATAAGGGTGCCCAAATCTGATTTTTCACACTCATTCATTCCCAGTGTGCCTGAGCTGAGATGTCTGGATGTGATTTGCAAAGCAGCTGAGCAGCCCCAGGCACATCTGAAGTCAAGGGCGGCAAAACTCTGAACAAGTGAAAAGTGTGCTGGAAAATCTGATGGTAGCAGGCCAAGTGCAATTAGATATTTTTGACCATTCCTCACTCAGTCTTCACTAAAATACCCTCTTATTTGATAGTCTTCATCCAAAAATAACATTAATGAAGAATTCAGGTACTACAGAAAAATCTACAAGTAGCAGCTCCTCCTCCAAAGTGGTATTTGACCACAGGCAGTAACTAATGAGGGAAAGCAGGATGGGAATAGCTCCTCCTCAACAAACTACTGCCCCATCCCACAGCTCTCTGTGGCACAAACTGCCCTGTGCTGTGAAGGCAGCCCAAAGGATCCCCCAAAATCCAACACCTGGGAGCTCAGATGAGGCATCTGGCCCGGGGTGGGTGTCCCACACCATGTTTCTGTCTGCCAGTCAACGATGCCACCCCTCCTCAGCTAATCAAAGCAGCCACAGCTCTGTGGAACACTATTCCCCACAGCTTTCCCCCCACTTTTTTCCCCAGTTCTGTTTAGCAACTTCACACATGAAGATCTAGCCTCAGTCAGCAGCTGTTTTAGAGCTAAAGCAGCTAAAGAAATGCTTGGAAAGGAAGTGAGAAGTGCCATACTTCCCGAATGTTCTGCTGCTCCATCTCGTGCCTCTTGATCATCGTTTTTCTCTTGAAGGAACGGCAGTTTTTGTCGTAGTAGAGTCTCTGCTGGCTGAGAAGTTGGGCCTCCTCTTCAGCCTGTGTGTGCTGCAGGTTCTCTTTATGTTTGGATATCCTTTCTTGCTTCTCTTTCTTGGGCGTGCTGTGGTCCTCGTTCATTTCCTGCAGGGTCAAAACAAGGCTTCCCTCAGGATCACGGTCACACAGGGCTTGCAGGAGTCACTGGCTACATCCCTGCCATCCAGGACCCCAAAATCCTGCTACAACACCAGGTGCCAGCAGAACCTGACCCACCCGGCCATGCCCAGCCCTGCTGCCTCCAGAGTTGTTATGACCCACACCAAGAGGAGGAAAATCAGCCACTAAACACAGACATTTGGGGAGTGAACAGCACAGAGAGGAAAGAGAGTCACACACCACTGCAGGGGAGGCTCTGGCTGCCCAGGAGGGAGGACAGGTCAAACCCCTCAGGTCCCTTCCTAGCTCTGTGCCTGCTTTACAAACAGTCCAGCCTGGGTTTAAAGTTTTACTTCAACAGGTCTCATGCCTGTAAATCACAAAACAGGGCTCCTTGCTATTCATTTTCTCACCTTTACATTCTTAACAGCAAATTATTTTTGCACTTTGGCACAGATCAGCCATATACTATATTTTTATACATACTTCTAATTCATGTAAGTGATCATAGGGCTTTTAGTCAAGGGACACTGAATGGCTGCTCTGATTACTTACACCTTAAATAAAAAAAAAACAGATGAGGAGAAAGTGGAAGAAGAATTCACTTCTCTGTGAAGTCCCATTTTCCCTCATCACCCTTGGTTTCAAAGATTCTGCTCTACAGCAAGTTATGAAGGCACCTCTAGCACCCCCAGAGATTCTTCTGAAAATGCTGCCAGATGGTCCCAGTTCCTGAAATTTTATTTGCTGAGCATCTAAATTTGCTTCCAAGCCTGACAGGATCCCTTAAACCCCTGGGCTGGCCCTGCTTTATCAAAACCAAAGACTGGCTTGTGTTCATTCCACACCCCTTCAGCCCTGAAAATGAGGGTTTCTTGCCTCTTTAATCTTTTCCTTGCAAAGCTTGTATTGTTTCTTCTGACTTTCTAAAAAGGTCGCCAGGTCTTTCTTTTGCTGAGCCAAAATCTGTTGCTGGAATTTCTTTTCATCTGCTGCAGCTGCCTTTGCCTGCAAGGTACAGAGAGGAAAAAAATAATAGAGAAACAAAGGGTGAGTAGGTACAGAATCCAGCACAGATCAGTCTTGTGCTGTGTTTTTTGGTCATTCCTCCCTCACTGTGCTAAACAAAGCCATGAGCATTAAGCCACAGGAAAACTGCTTGCACTGAAAATCCATGATGGCCATATAAATGTAAGAGTTTTCTTGTGCTTCTCATCTCCCCACCAAAACCACCCCAGGAGGTACAAACCCCACTAATTCACCGCGTGGATCAACATGTTGATTTTTAAACAGAGCGAGGAGCAGCAGCAAGGTTTGTCATCCCCTCAGCCATGAGGCAAAGCTCCTACAAGGTCCCCACAAGGATCTCCAGTCTCCCTTATGGAGCTGTCACTGGCTGTGGTACTGGTAGATGCCAATGGAGTGCCCACCATCCAGAAGGATGACTTGAGGCCGGTTCACCAAACTGGCCAGGGCAGCTCTGGACAGTGACCACACAGAGCACGGGGGGTTGAAGCAGCAACTCCCACAACCTCCTCTTACCTGGACTCACCTCTCCCTCCAACCCCACTCACCTCCTTGTCCATCACAGCCACCTGCTTCTTGGCCAGCTTCTCCAGCTCGATGGACGAGTTGTTGGCGTGTGTCTCCACCTCCTTCTGCAGCTTGAGGCGGTGCTCGTCCATCTCGGCCTTCAACTTGTTTTCCAGGGCGATCAGCTGCTTCTGGTGCTGGCGCCGCATCCGCTTATATCCTGACATCTGTTCCCGCAACTCGTTCTCCTGCTCATGCTCATGGATCTGTCTTGTAACCTGATGGCAGGGAGAGGGGAAGAAGTGCTGCACGGCCTTCCTTTCACAGACAAGCTGTCTCCATGTTGGAGCTCACCCGTAAGCCGGGCCCTGCTTTGCTGTCCTCTCAGAGATCAGCTTTCAGGGAATGCTGCTCCAGGTTTCAGAGGTGCTGCTGTTTAATGTCACAGAGACATAGGGTTTCTCACTCCTGATTTTTAGCCCCTCACCTTTTCCTGAGACTGTTGTGTGTGTTTTCGGTAACGCAGCAGAAAATGCCATGTTACAAATAAAGGAAGTTACTGGTTATTTATCACTCCAGGAAACACGGGAGGAGATCTGGAAACAAAGGTGGCTGGATGATGGACAACCTTCTTCAGACACAGGGGATAACTTTTTTCAGACACAGGACTCAAATCCTGAGGGTGACATGGACTTACAAGATGGGATCCATTTTAAGAACCCCTCGACCCACCCATTCTTTCCTTCCTCCTCAAATAATGCCCCAATGCCAATTCAGTCCTTCAACACCTATTTCCTGCTATGAGTAGCCTCCTTCAAAATTTCTCCTTAAAATTCAAGAGGATGGTAGACTGAGCTCATTCCCTCCTAGAATTGAAAGTTTTCTAACAAGGGAACGCTGTTCTGGAACTGTGTGCTCTTAACAAGATTGATCAGATGGTCTAAGCAGATTTTAAACCCTGCTCAGCTGAAACAAACTCACAAGTTCCACATTCATTTCCATGCCCAAGTGTATCCATGTGAAAGGAAGGCAAAAAAAAAGAAAAAAAACACCCAGTAAGTCGTGCCAAAAATGTTCAGAAAAAAATGCAAATGGTGATGCTTCCATTTCAAAAAAAGAAGAGTGTCTAAGAATGATTTCTATTTTCTTAAAGACAGTCTCAGGAACGTCCCATATAAAGATCTGCTGATCCTTTTTATGACCTGGGAGCCAAAACTGGAGGACCTGATTCTGTGTGAGGGGATCTCTGCTTTTGTGCTGAAGTGTGAAGCAAAGAGCTCAGCCCTTTGAAGGCCATCAGTGACACTTTACAAACCAACAGCCCTTCCTGCAGCCTGCAAGAGCCCAGCCTTGCTGATGGATTCCTCCAGAGCAGCCCAGAAAACTGGCCTCTACTACAGGGCTGCTGTCACTTGAAGGCAGTTTTTCAAGGATTTTCAAAGTTCAGACACGGGATGGGATGTACCCACAGACCTGAGAAGGTTCAGGTTCAACAGAAGAGCAGCTGCTTTGTAGAGCAGCAAACCCAGTGCACTTGCTGGCAGCCTTGTGCTCCAGGACCAGGAGGTGACAGGAAGCACTGATCAAGTAAGAGCTCTGAAATCACCAGGCAAGATTAACACCCCAACTGATGTCACCCAAGGCAGGCAGCTTGTGCCACCTCTCTCAGCTCAAATGACTCCCAGCACTTGGGAGGAGTGTGAAGAGGAGCTTAGGAAGAGCCTCTCAAAGCCTTCACCTTGGAACAGATTAACAGCAATTTACAGCAAATAGGTGCCAACCAAGAAAACTATTGCCAGAGCCCCAAGGAGAGAAATGAGACGTGAAAGGATGAAGGCACGGAAGGGGTTGGCCTCTGTCTCCCCCCATCCCTTCCAAAGACAACTCCAGAGGGAGAAGGAAATGTCTGATGGCAAAGAAACCAAAGGACCAGCCTGCCTAGAGCACTGTGTCAGGGATGGTGGTGGATTAACAAGGTCAAGCATCCACCACGAGGTAAGAGATGAGGTGTAAATCACATCCTCCTTGTGCAAGGGATTTCAGGATGTGCTTTTGAAGTTGACTGGATTAAACATATACTTACACCTCAGCAGCCTTCAAATGCTTGGGACTAGGTAACAGAACAGATCTCAGCCAGCCACCAGGAGCGTGTGAGATTGTAGGAATGATCACGGAAACACAAACACAGCGCTAGCTGTGTATTCCTACAGTTCAGAAAGCTTTTGGTTTTTCCAAGCAGACCAAGGACAGCCACGCTTTGCACAAGCTGGGAAGTGTTTGTAGGAACTGGCACGCTTCGGTCAAGTAAGTCAAGAGTAAGATCTCTGCCAGAAGCTTCCAGGTGAGGAAAGTTCCTCTGAGAAGCCATCCA